AGTTATATATGTGCGCTCACTCTTTCAAGTGTTATTAGATAGACAATAGACAATTCCAGAACAAAATTCTGCTCAACGAATGGAAGGCAACCCTTGAAACCAAGAAATACAACAATTATACAACAGTTATTTGGTCCGTTCTGGTTTGCACACATTTTAATTTTATTTCAATCGCTAACTTAACACAACGTGAGCAACACCACGTCGTATAACAACACCACAAAGCCAAAAATAAAAATAGGCATCAAAATAAATAGAGAAGAAAAGGAAAATATAAAGTAGTCGCTGCTGGTTTCAATTCTGAGGCATATCTAATATCATGTCAAGACACTGAGACGCGACTTTAGGACTCTTGGGGTATCAACAGATGCTGGTGCAACACAAACATCTTAATTCACTCGTGTTTTTTGAGCTAACTGATTTAATTGTGAGGCTTTCATTGTTCTTCTGGGCATTGTCAATACTAGCTTTGATATGCAGTGAACCATGAGGAATTCTCTGTAAGTGATTCTGTAGCTTTTCTTGATGAAGTAGCATATGGTTGATAGTTTCCTTTAATTGTTCTGCCACTTAGCAGACATGTTTTACTACTGACCGTTTTCTTGCCTGATCTCTAATCTTGTGGTTGTTTATCATTTTTCGTACTGGTGGATAGACGGAGTTTGATATATAGCTGATCTTTTAAAGGAGCTTTACCATTCAGTGGTGTTGAAGCCCGTACAAATACTGACCATCTAATAACTAAATGCAATTTAAATAGCCTATGCGTTATCGAACAGTAACATGGCTATGTTCTCTTGCTCAAGGTCGAAAAACCTGTCCCAGTAGCAGATCTCTGCCGCCACTATCACGCAAGTTTATCACAGCTGTCTCAAAGTTATCGATGATAGGAGTAAGCAGGAAAGATAAAGTAAGACAACCCTCTGTAGCTTTTTTGTCGCTTCAGAATAATAGAGTTATATATGTGCGCTCACTCTTTCAAGTGTTATTAGATAGACAATAGACAATTCCAGAACAAAATTCTGCTCAACGAATGGAAGGCAACCCTTGAAACCAAGAAATACAACAATTATACAACAGTTATTTGGTCCGTTCTGGTTTGCACACATTTTAATTTTATTTCAATCGCTAACTTAACACAACGTGAGCAACACCACGTCGTATAACAACACCACAAAGCCAAAAATAAAAATAGGCATCAAAATAAATAGAGAAGAAAAGGAAAATATAAAGTAGTCGCTGCTGGTTTCAATTCTGAGGCATATCTAATATCATGTCAAGACACTGAGACGCGACTTTAGGACTCTTGGGGTATCAACAGATGCTGGTGCAACACAAACATCTTAATTCACTCGTGTTTTTTGAGCTAACTGATTTAATTGTGAGGCTTTCATTGTTCTTCTGGGCATTGTCAATACTAGCTTTGATATGCAGTGAACCATGAGGAATTCTCTGTAAGTGATTCTGTAGCTTTTCTTGATGAAGTAGCATATGGTTGATAGTTTCCTTTAATTGTTCTGCCACTTAGCAGACATGTTTTACTACTGACCGTTTTCTTGCCTGATCTCTAATCTTGTGGTTGTTTATCATTTTTCGTACTGGTGGATAGACGGAGTTTGATATATAGCTGATCTTTTAAAGGAGCTTTACCATTCAGTGGTGTTGAAGCCCGTACAAATACTGACCATCTAATAACTAAATGCAATTTAAATAGCCTATGCGTTATCGAACAGTAACATGGCTATGTTCTCTTGCTCAAGGTCGAAAAACCTGTCCCAGTAGCAGATCTCTGCCGCCACTATCACGCAAGTTTATCACAGCTGTCTCAAAGTTATCGATGATAGGAGTAAGCAGGAAAGATAAAGTAAGACAACCCTCTGTAGCTTTTTTGTCGCTTCAGAATAATAGAGTTATATATGTGCGCTCACTCTTTCAAGTGTTATTAGATAGACAATAGACAATTCCAGAACAAAATTCTGCTCAACGAATGGAAGGCAACCCTTGAAACCAAGAAATACAACAATTATACAACAGTTATTTGGTCCGTTCTGGTTTGCACACATTTTAATTTTATTTCAATCGCTAACTTAACACAACGTGAGCAACACCACGTCGTATAACAACACCACAAAGCCAAAAATAAAAATAGGCATCAAAATAAATAGAGAAGAAAAGGAAAATATAAAGTAGTCGCTGCTGGTTTCAATTCTGAGGCATATCTAATATCATGTCAAGACACTGAGACGCGACTTTAGGACTCTTGGGGTATCAACAGATGCTGGTGCAACACAAACATCTTAATTCACTCGTGTTTTTTGAGCTAACTGATTTAATTGTGAGGCTTTCATTGTTCTTCTGGGCATTGTCAATACTAGCTTTGATATGCAGTGAACCATGAGGAATTCTCTGTAAGTGATTCTGTAGCTTTTCTTGATGAAGTAGCATATGGTTGATAGTTTCCTTTAATTGTTCTGCCACTTAGCAGACATGTTTTACTACTGACCGTTTTCTTGCCTGATCTCTAATCTTGTGGTTGTTTATCATTTTTCGTACTGGTGGATAGACGGAGTTTGATATATAGCTGATCTTTTAAAGGAGCTTTACCATTCAGTGGTGTTGAAGCCCGTACAAATACTGACCATCTAATAACTAAATGCAATTTAAATAGCCTATGCGTTATCGAACAGTAACATGGCTATGTTCTCTTGCTCAAGGTCGAAAAACCTGTCCCAGTAGCAGATCTCTGCCGCCACTATCACGCAAGTTTATCACAGCTGTCTCAAAGTTATCGATGATAGGAGTAAGCAGGAAAGATAAAGTAAGACAACCCTCTGTAGCTTTTTTGTCGCTTCAGAATAATAGAGTTATATATGTGCGCTCACTCTTTCAAGTGTTATTAGATAGACAATAGACAATTCCAGAACAAAATTCTGCTCAACGAATGGAAGGCAACCCTTGAAACCAAGAAATACAACAATTATACAACAGTTATTTGGTCCGTTCTGGTTTGCACACATTTTAATTTTATTTCAATCGCTAACTTAACACAACGTGAGCAACACCACGTCGTATAACAACACCACAAAGCCAAAAATAAAAATAGGCATCAAAATAAATAGAGAAGAAAAGGAAAATATAAAGTAGTCGCTGCTGGTTTCAATTCTGAGGCATATCTAATATCATGTCAAGACACTGAGACGCGACTTTAGGACTCTTGGGGTATCAACAGATGCTGGTGCAACACAAACATCTTAATTCACTCGTGTTTTTTGAGCTAACTGATTTAATTGTGAGGCTTTCATTGTTCTTCTGGGCATTGTCAATACTAGCTTTGATATGCAGTGAACCATGAGGAATTCTCTGTAAGTGATTCTGTAGCTTTTCTTGATGAAGTAGCATATGGTTGATAGTTTCCTTTAATTGTTCTGCCACTTAGCAGACATGTTTTACTACTGACCGTTTTCTTGCCTGATCTCTAATCTTGTGGTTGTTTATCATTTTTCGTACTGGTGGATAGACGGAGTTTGATATATAGCTGATCTTTTAAAGGAGCTTTACCATTCAGTGGTGTTGAAGCCCGTACAAATACTGACCATCTAATAACTAAATGCAATTTAAATAGCCTATGCGTTATCGAACAGTAACATGGCTATGTTCTCTTGCTCAAGGTCGAAAAACCTGTCCCAGTAGCAGATCTCTGCCGCCACTATCACGCAAGTTTATCACAGCTGTCTCAAAGTTATCGATGATAGGAGTAAGCAGGAAAGATAAAGTAAGACAACCCTCTGTAGCTTTTTTGTCGCTTCAGAATAATAGAGTTATATATGTGCGCTCACTCTTTCAAGTGTTATTAGATAGACAATAGACAATTCCAGAACAAAATTCTGCTCAACGAATGGAAGGCAACCCTTGAAACCAAGAAATACAACAATTGCTAGCCTGCAGTACATTTGGCAATATTCCGGTATTTGAAGAAGGGCAAGCACATGGTCAATGCTACCACAATGTGAATGCAGCCCGGCACACTCTTTGAAAGCCAGCTTTCCACATGTTGTGAAAGGCCTGCAAAGTATGATAGCAACCAATGTTATAAATGCAGCTGGTAGAAGAATAATATCCCACTGATTGTAATATTCATTCCTATGGAACTTTTTGAAGTTGAGCAGAACAATGGGATTATTCCAAAGTGGATTGATAACCTTTAGTTCACATACCTTCATCCTCAAAAGGAGTCACGGTAACTCGTTTATAGCGGATGCCTTGTGTTTCTTTAGTTACTTTTATTCTCTTTGGATCTTGGTTTCGTTAAGTAGGTCAATGTAAGCTGATCATGAAGCATAAGTAACTGAATTATATACATAGTTACAATGCTCACCTGCAATATAAGTAAGAACTTCAGCATAAAGAATCTACTGGATGTGGAAAGGACAGATATGCTGGTTTGGTTTTCTTAAAAACGATGTCAGGTTAGTGGTTGGGAGTTTTCAGACTACTCGTTTCTTGGCTTGATGTTTGTAAGATGGTGAGCGTGATCACATGAGATATTGAATATGTTACCAAACCTTTTATTTTCGTTATGCCCTGGTAGATACTAGGCAGAAATATGTACCAGGTTGTTCCAGTTATCTGTTTAACTACCTAAAATAGCTTCAGTAAGTTTCATATGAGTTTTTATTCCTGAGGATTTATGAAGTCTTAAGTTCACAGCCGAAATCCCATTTTTCTAGGTGTTATTTATACTGTTTTGCTGTTTTTACCTTAGTAGTCAGTAATAAATACTGATTTAAAAATGTTTTGCCATTGGAAATGTCTTACAGTGTTGGTAACTTTTGTCACAATTATAAACTATTATGTGTCATACTATTTTGACGGACACCATATCACGATGCTACAGTGTCTAGAGTTCAACTTCCTGTTTTCTTTTGTTTACTTCTTATTACTTTGTATTACGCTTTTATGACAATTTTTGTTGATTATCAATTTTCTTTGAAATAATACAGCTCTGCACACGATACCCGATTAAATCGTCGAGTGGCTATTAAAAGATTGAGTAGACCTTTCGAAAATATTGAATATACAAAAAGAACCTACAGGGAGATCAATATTTTATCTCAAATGGATCATGAAAACGTGAGTTTAAAAAGTGTGTTTTTATCTACTGCAGTAATAAAGTAATGATCATCCTATTTGCAATAGGGGAATAATTTTTTTTCTGTTCATTGATCATTTTTGTAGTTTCCAAATATATCAAACTAATTCCTTTTAGCGCGCTACTCAGTCGTAATCCGATTTGGAGCTTGTTGTAATCATCTGACTGGCTGGGCTCACACATTTGACATAAAATGTATATGAAACTATTTTGACAATGGGCCATGCTCATCTTTATTATTTAGATAATCTAGTTGATAAAATCACTGGTCCTTAATTAGGGTTATGCAGCAAAGTGTTTGCACCCTGACTAAAATATTTTTATGATTTATTTGAATTGATTTTCAACGAATTTCTGTTTGCCTATAGCATCTTTTTAACTCCGCTATATAAACCCTAGCTCTTTTTTGGCGTAGTTTACTCTGTTAAAAGATTGTTAGCTGTGATCATAAGTTGGGGGCATCTTTAAGTAGGTGAATTGTCCATGTGACTGTGCTTCGGGTTGTACCTCTATTGACTGTAACACAAGCAACCATTCCGCCAGGTGGGAAAGTAAATTAGTCAATGTTTTCCTATACCTCACCTTCTCATCAGACTGGTTTGAAGGGTAGGACATGTTTTAACTTAGAATTGTCCAGGGAGATATTTTGTATCTTTTTATTCAGCATAGTACTTGTAGGTGTATGTTAGAAAAACTTCCAATCTCGTCTTGCATCATACATAACTAACCGTGCAACTAGTTCGAGCGGATATAAGTAGAAATTGACTTGGTTGTGGTTAGCAATGGAATCCAGGATACGTGTTTCGTTCTATTTGGGACTCGTCAGCTTGATATACCTGGCTTCCAGTGAGTGATGTTGTTTCTTCTGAGACTCAAACCTCATACCCATCGCTTCGATAGGGCTTTATACCTATTGTCTCCAACCAACTAACATCCACCAATGTGCACCGCGATGTTGAGTCTCCTAGCTTGGTGGCCACATTGCAAATGTGATCGATAGAATTCGGTCTACACTGAGGACTAGACAACATGAGATTGATTGCTCTCCCGTGACCAATCAATGTACTGTTAAGATACTGGCAGAATGTAATAAGAGACTCAAACAAATGGTTTACTTCATAGGACTCATAATATATTTAAAGGGTGTTTATACACTTATATTGCTTTTCAGAGAGCACAATAAAAATGGAATATGACCGCCATTTAGTTGAATGACTTCTCAGACCTCGCCCAATAAGTCTTGGGACATCAACGGATACTTACCCAACACAAAAAACCTACATTTAACTGCGCCACTTTGTTCGCTGACGATATCTCCTTTTCTTTCAACCAGTCCTCTGATTGGTAAACGGTGGACAGTTATACAGGCAGTTGAGACGAAATTCGTAACATGTCTAAGCCATAAAAACGGTTGTCTCAAGATGACTTCACTCAATGAGTGATATAGTATTGCCGTTGTTTTATGGAACCAGCAGGTGAGCAGCATAAAGGTTAAGCATAGAATCTAATTTAAATTGAGTAGTTCAATTGATGATGTTTTCAGTCTTCATGATATAAAATGACTGGCATATTTATTATGCATTATGAGTCACAGTCTACATCAACAGGTTATTTTAACTAGAGCAAGGTTAGGTTAGGGTCTCTAAAACAAAACATGGTATCATTCTGTGAAGTTTATGAGTGTAAGTCTGAGATCACTGGCTAAATTTCGACTACTTACTTTCGTTTTGCAAAACAACCGAAATCATTTGTTATAGATGGTATATCTCAAAACCACTCACATTGACAGATGCATCTGCGCCTTTTCTTTTGTTTGTTCTGTCTCTCTTTTCGTTATGTTTTATGGTCTTCACAATGTTGTTATTTTCGTTTCCTTGTCTTTCCTCTTGTCAGCTTCTATCATCTGTTTATTAGCCAATCTATAGTGTAGCAACTTTCATTGTTGGAGGTTCAGACTATTATTTTCGAAATTCGAAACTACATAGTTTAACACTTCCATGAACGTTGTAGTGGATTTCATTCATCCTTTAATAACAATTTTTAAAACTTGATTAAGTAAACCAGTTGACTGTATGATAATATCCAGTGCTATACTGTAGTTCCATTTACCAACAGACGTTTGGATATGCAATCATTGATTAAAGCAATTCAACAGTAAACGTGTATGGTAAAGTAACTCTGTGACGGAAAAAATATTGCTTAACTATTATACAAAGAATAATCTGATATGGATTTGTCGGAAGATCTGAAAAGTGTTTATTTTTGACCAACGTACATCTGTATTTCGAACAGCATAAAGCGTCATTTCATAGTCTATCACTGATACACATTTTGGAGTAAATATTTTTGATTTTCTGTTGTTGTTTTGTTACTAAAAAAGACAATAAAGATAAAATAAGTTTTTTTCCATCTAGTTTCATTCCTGAACACGATGATAACATCTTATTTCGTTACTTTCTTTAAAGCTTCATACATACTAGCAGACTTAAAATGGAAAAGTAAATTGGTATTAATACACTTCAAAGGTTGGAACTTGGTCGTTTGTGATGCGAAAATAGAGTTTTTAACAGTTGAAGTCTCTGCTTATTTGCTGCTAAGCATATATCACGTATCACTTTTTTCAAGGGACATATGCGTTATCTTACTAAGAAGTGATATCTCAAATCTTGTTGTCATAAATATCAGACTCATATGTAATCACTGTCAATTAGGTCATGATGCAGGACATATGAATGATGCATAATGTCAATCATTGCAACCATAGGGTTATTTTCTTATTGGTTAGTTTGGGTGATATACTAGCTACATATATAGCTGTTACCCCACCGACAGCTTCTACCTTGACGCTCTGATCGAATTTCCATATCTAGATAATCCAACGAGCTATGATGGAGGAAAATATGTTCTGTCGAGGTCCTATCATACCACAAAGATTTGCTGAATGATAGTAAGACAGAAAGCAATTGCCTTTTTAGTGTAAATGCCTACGCTATGATAGGGGTCCGAAGACATAGTCATACTGTTGTCTGGATGAGATGCGACAGCTATAAGGTGTTCCTAACGGATAACCAGGACTTTATGCTGATACTGCTTTCCTTATAGCAAAAACGGATTCAAAAACTTCCGCCCCCAAAATAGCTCATTCTTTTCTGTCTTACGATCTTCTGGTGCTGAAGGTATGGGTTTTCTATCTGAATTTAAGTTAAACCTCAAACTTGCAAAAAGGTCGTATGTCACCGGTCTCAAGCAGATATCCATTGAGCTCTGTGGTTTCGCAACGCTGTTACTAATCCAACCTATTTTTCAGACATCTCAAGAAGTAACCTTTCAGGGTGTAGGCAGCCGCGAAGTATCAGTTGTCCTCATAACTCAGCATTCAACGTTTCCTCAAATAATTATCAAACCTCCACTTTGTTTTCTGATGTTTCTTCTCAATTCTCGGTCAATATCCCCACGTCATCTTTATTTTTTTTGCTTCTGCAATCCTTGACAACGATTCGAACGATGGCCCTGATCTCCTGGAACTATGCTGCGAACTACGCATAGTAGCTTTCAATGTCCATACTTTCCGTAAAATCAAACAGCAAGTTTCGCTTGTCAGAACTCTGGCATCTTAGACCATCGAAGTATATTGTTTTGCGAGTTGCGTATACGGGACCCAAGCTTCATCCGGGTAATATGGTGAATCTTCGAAATACACTCCACAAACTTGTAGAGGTTCGATAACTAGTTCTTGGGGTCTTGTAGGTGTCGGTATGACATTAATTCCTAAGGGAAAGAGTCTACTGTTTGACTGGATAATACGGTAAGGGTTGACACTGTCACACACTAAACGCTTTGATAAATCAAGAGTTCGCAAATGACACAGTATTGTTATGTTGACCAGATGGAGAGTTTTCTGGATACCTTGGTACCTTGTGTCTTGTTGTTCTTCTTTGAGTCATGGTATCTTGAAGTTTCACGCAATAATTCTAGGTCTTATTTTGATACTGACTGACTGACTATGGAGCCACAAATTCAAACTTTAATTGATCCCCCCCCCTCCCTCATTAAAAGCAACCTATAGTGGATTTGACTTAAGAAATGTCCTTGGTCAACTTTAGGACTTCTTAAATCGGTTCTTAAATGCTGATTTTCCTGAACAGAATACGTTTATATATGATTCAAGTTTTTCATATTTTCCTTGACATCGACTTAATATTCTATCCATGTTTGGTTTCTGGTTTCTACTTTTTTTGTCAAACTTCTCCCTATTATTAATCTTTTATTGGAAGCTTTTTGTGGGGCTTTGCTCCTAGCTTCATTTTAGCAACTGACCTTAGGTAAGTTTGGCAACCTAAACTTCCTTTTGGTAATGTAATAGTACACGTCACTTGTTCGTGGTGTGGAGATTCATTGTGAATAAACTAAATGATTCCCCTAATATTTTTATTCTAAAGTGTAATCACGATTAAAGCGTAGAATTAAAAAGCGTATCCATTCCATTTGAAAATGTATCTTACTTGCATGCACTTCGCACTAGCCTTTGCAGAAGCCTTCTAGTCGAAAAGTTAGGATTGGCTCTAAGTGTTTCGTTAAAGTGATCGAATATGTGGCTCATTGACTTAAGCTTTTCACTTTCAAACAGTGGGGTCATGGTTCAAATTAGGGACACTTACTTCAGCCTAGAAATTGGATAGTACCACACAATAGGTGTGAATCATAGCATAATACATAAACCTGTACCGGATGTAGTTGGATTCATTTTTATAATAGTGGGATTATTCAAAATAAAGAGACGTTTATGCACTTGATCATAAAAATTGAACAGACTACGTGATAAACTTCGCTGTTATACATGACTAGAACAGGATTCTAAGTGTAATCATATTAGTTGAAAGAAACGAGAAAAGGATTGTTAACTATGAGTACTTTCACTTCACGTGTCCTTTCATTCAGTTCGTATACAGCTGAAAATACCAATTAATGACTAGCTTTATGGAGGTTTATACATTTGTAACATCTGTGATGGTCTATGACACCACCAGGTTGATCAGGATAAAGTGAGTTTGTCCTTGTGGTTGAAAGTTGAGTCCCTGTATTACTTGTTCGTAGCTGCAAGGTACTTATTAAGTCTACAGTTGTAAATTTCTTACTTCTGTAGGGTAGATCTATTTAAAAAAATGGATTACTATATATATATATATATATTGCACAATTAATTTACTTTCCATTGTAATAATCAATATTTCTGTTTTTTTTTATTCTGCTTTTTAATCACATAGATTGTTTGTTTGATTGATGCCTTTTCACCGCAAACTTCCTATAAAGAATTTACAGATATGTACGTGAAATATAATGATGTCTGATTCAGCTTCCTTTGCATTTTTAATTTCTACCTAAGTGATAATTTTTAAATTGCAAAATAATTTATTATTTTAAGTATGCCATTTGGAAGGTTTTTTAAAAATTATGCTTAAGTTTAAAAGCTGGGAATACTTTACAAAGTATAAATCTTGTCACACTGTATTGCCTTTGAATATTGTGCTGAAAGAACGTTGAAATTAAGCTTGATCTAGGGTAGTAGATAAAATATATCACAGTTGTTGTGTTTCAGCCTAGATTTATTTCATACCTAGTGGATTGCTACCAACTTGCTTCCATGACTATTAGAAGTGGAAATCTTAGAAAGTGATTTACATTCGATGAAAATCTGAAAAAATGGTAGAAAAGTTGAAAAATATAATCTTACAAAGTTATTTATTTTTGCATAACTAAGGTAATTCTGCTCAGTATCAACTCACTTTCTTTTCTGTGTAACTTAAATAAAGGATATTCCATTCAAACTGTTATTATATTTAGTTTGTTTTCATCTTGGAGTAAGAAAGATTTCCTGACTGGCATGCTACTCCTTTATAACAATTTATTCAGTGCCAAGATGACATTCTTGGGATAGGATGAATAAGTTGATCTGAAATCATCAGCAATATGACTGTTAATCGGACTGTCTAGTGCACATTGGTGCTACTGTGTTTATACCTATTAGAGATCATTTTCTTATGCTCATTACTTTTTTCATTCTGTTCTTATCAATGTCTTGTAGTGTCGTCAGCTTTCTATTGTTTACTGGTTCCCTGCCTTTAGTTCTGTTGGGAAATGCAGAGACCTGAACCATTGCAGTTTTGTTCAACGTTCTACATTACTCTACTTGTTCGTTAAATGATGCGATACATTTTTATGCTAGAATCTTTTGTCAGTCAGATCAAACTCTAAGTGAAAGTACGAGTTATCAAAATGATAGCTACAAAATTTGTTGACAAACTATCTTAAGTTGCAATTATTTTAATAGTGTCTGGTGATAAAATTGTTTTGATCACTTCTTAGACATAAATTCAATGTTTTTTTGCGGATATGCAATGTTCAAACATACTTTCAAGATTCATTTTTCTAGGGGCTGTAGATATCTGTACCTTTTTATAGTCAATCAAAATCTGTTGTCAACTTCTTAAATATCTTTAGTTTATAATGTTCAATGTGTAGTTCTAGTGGATAGATTATTTCTGTCGAACACCAATTTACCAGTATTTGTACCTCAGTATTTTGTCGAATAATTTTAATAAGATAGTAATATTTTTCCATTCATAGTTATCTTGTAACACCATTGATGGGTGCTGATCTTGGCGCTATTATTGAAACCCAATCGTTGTCTGATGAACAAATACGATTTCTTGTATATCAAGTTTTAAGAGGTCTAAAAGTAAGTTGATTGATGATTTATTCTGTTTTTATTGAATAAAACTGTTAAATAGTTTATATTTTATCATTATTTTGTGTTCTTAGTTGTCAAGAAATCTTATATTTACCTTGATGACTCGCAGTGGAATCCAGGACGCGCGTTTCGTCCTATCTGGGACTCGTTAGCTGGATTTATCTGTTCCCCAGTGAATGATGTTCCCACTGAGAGTTCGAGCAATTCGATTCTGTATAGTAACGGGGAATTGCAAGTATTAAGCAGCAAGTGATACTCGTTGTACAAGTGGTGGCTGTCGTGCCCTAGTGACCTAGTGGATAACGCTGTGGCGTTTTAAGCGATGGGTACTGGGCCCGGGTCTCAGTGGGAACAGCACCACACTGGGGTGCAGGTAAATCCAACCGACGAGTCTCAGACAGAACGAGACGCACATCTTGAACTCCACTACGAGTCACCAACAATGAATAGCTGGTAGTACCGAGTTATCCGCATAGAAACTCATCTGCCAACAGAGGTGGGGCAGTTTGACTCTGTGTAGCAGCGGGAAATTACAAATATCGAACACTGTCATGAGATCTGTTAAATATTGACCTCTGAACTGTTTTTAGCGGGCTTAGCGTACTTATGTTTATAAACTGAACCAAATTGATCGGTCTCTGTTTACCTGTGCTCATCGAATAGAGATGTCTAAATGTATTTGCTCAAGTTTCATTTTGATATTATTTGCTTAGTGGTAGCTTGCAGTGGAATGCAGAAAGTACTTTTCGTCCTGTTTGAAACTTGTCAGGTTTATGTAGGCACATCCCTGGTTAGCGGTGGTGTTCGCAGTGGAACTCCAGCCAAGCATCCACCGTTTCAAATGCCAGACCGTTATCGACTAAACTACTGACTCAGTAGCTTTGATTCCACTGCGTTCTTCGAATGTAAAAATGTGCATATTCAAAGTAGTGTGCTGATTACTAATGCTTTAACTGTTTTATTTTCATTATCTACGCTTGCGACGAAATACTATCCACTTATCTTATTTGTGAACTTTCAAGACGTTCTGTTTTTGTTTTTTGGGCGAAAATGTATCAAGCATCTTGACAAAAGATTTTAGTACCCTCATCATAACACTAAGACTTTTGTAGGCTTTGCGTGAGTTTGTCACATGTCATAAATGTAAATTAGTGGTGTGTAGTACTGTCTAGAAATTTGCTTAAGCAAATGACACTTAAGCGTGAAAATTTGGTTATTCGTTTTTGATCTGACAGATTTAGAAGAAACATGAAAAAGTGACCAGGCTTTCGCGATAGGGATTTGCTATTATCCACTTTGTCATACCAAATGTTTGTTAGGAGTTTAGTGAAGAAAAGTGAATCATATTTTCCTTTTCTCCTGCTCACTATATTGGAAACTTAAAACATGTGAAACAAATTAGTTTGAAAGGTTTTATTAGCTTCCTAGGAGTAATTTGTTTGAGAAATGTATTTTCATTGACTTCATAGCATTTATTAAACCCTGAAATCTAATAAGCGGCCCTGTGATTCATATCTATTTCGATCTACCGTGCTGAGATAGCCTGGGTTAGTGTAATCGACTGCCAATGCCATTAAACCGTAGTTACAATGAGCACTAGAATGCTGTATCATTCTAATATGTAGTTCAATAGCACCCATTCTCGATCTCTTCAAGAATGAAAACTAGAACCTCGTTTCATGTGGGACATCCTACTATTCAGTCATTAAATGAGAAACCAGTGATAGATACTTCCTAATCATGTTTTGTGAACCTTATGAACGTTGATAGTATGTATCAATCGTATCTCATAAGTTTGAACCACATCTGCGTTGTTCATTAGCTTACATATATTCTCCGAATGATGTCACTTCTTGGTTAAATCCGTTTATAGTAAAAAATACTCGATTTTGATTCTAAAAAACAGTTAACTGTAGAGAAAAAATATTATAACAAGGACGTTGCCACTAGGATTGAATTATTAACCGTGATGATAATGTATTCTATTGTTTAAACAGGTGCCGTTTGAAAGAGCAGTTTCGTCGAAATAAATAATTCTGACATTAGATATAGATTGTATTTGTGTAAGTCACAGCGGGTTTGAAATCAAATAATTCCAACGTTTCGCACGGAAGTCTGGTCCGAGTTTCTTCAGGAAAATAATCAAGATTAAAATATTAAGGATATATATATATATGAATTCAAAAAAAACGTGTATTTAATCTCCTTGTCCAATCCTCTTCGTATAGTCATTGTCTTTCTAAATTATGACAACTAATCATTCAGTGTGAAATTGTATGTCTTTTGTTGTTTGGCTTATGTATGTTGTACGTGTATGCATATATGTACTCTAATTCATATTCGTCTTGATTATAAATATCAGACAAAAAGGACACTGATGACATAGTCATCATTCGGTAATTTTATAAGTACAAATTGAAAAGGATAAGGTGGATGTGTATACAGTTTCAGTTGGAATAAAGTAGTGAATAGTGTTAGCGAATTTTTTTTCGCATTGATTTACCGGAATAGAATGGAAATGAGTGGTAGTAATGATGGTGGTGATGATGATGGTAATAATGAATCAAATCAGTCCAGGTTGCGTTGTTGTTGATGCAGAAATAATGAAGTTGAGACTAGTGTTGACGGTAAATGTTTTGAGTCACTCTTTCTGTTTATTAAGTAGTAATTGCCTAGAGGCAGCTAACTGTACTCCATCTCGTCTATTCAAACTGTCTGGATTCACCCATATATGTAGGGCTTCGGCTGTCAGCCTTTCTTGGTATGACCCAAAACCTTTTTGTAGAACCTTAGTTCCGTCAAAGCCAATTTTGTATTCCATTTCTATGGAGTGTAACGCGATCGTGGATTTGTTTTCTAGTTTTTTAACCGCTGCTGAAGTTTTTGGGATTCTCAACAAACATGACATAAGAGTTTACTTTCGTGCAACAAATACCCTACGTTCAAACTTAATGAAAGTTAAAGATGTAGTACCTAAAGAAAATCAGCAGAACTGCGTCTATATAATCCAATGAGCAGGTCTTAATGCAAAACATGTGGGGGAAACAGCCAGACAGGGAAATTTAAGAGCGAAGAACCATAGACTGTCTTAAGCAGATTCTGATAACCTCAGCAGAGGTTAAGAAACTAGAAAACAAATCCACGATCGCGTTACACTCCATAGAAATGGAACACAAAATTGGCTTTGACGGAACTAAGGTTCTACAAAAAGGTTTTGGGTCATACCAAGAAAGGCTGACAGCCGAAGCCCTACATATATGGGTGAATCCAGACAGTTTGAATAGACGAGACGGAGTACAGTTAGCAGCATCTTCACATACGGCTCAGACCAGCAATAAGAGACCTTATGGACTGGTAACACGTACTTCGTCTGGTCACCCTAAACCGTCTTCCAATGCGGTCGAACTTCCCCTAGCATGGTACGTCGAGGTAGGCAGTGGCTTAGCATGCGCAGTGCATGTCCAAGCCATATCAGTCGACTGATAATCAGAACATCAATCGACTTGTTTATCTTGCCTAGTATTCTTCACCTGACCTCAACACTTCTCACGCCGTGATTCCATGATTCTTAGTGTTGATTCATTTTGGTGTTATATGTCGGAAGTCAGTTGGCTTATACACTTTACTGATGAGTGCTAAGAAGATACGAAACTTAGGTTCTAGCCTTCTTGTTGATCGACCTTTTACGCCATACATACATACACCAAAGTACGGTGGAGTACAGTCTTAGGTCATCTAACACGATGGTCGCATTGCAAATTTAATCGATAGACTTCAGTCACTACTTTGCATTATGGAGTGGACAGTTACATCGGTTATCAACTGGTGGGTGATTAATTTGCGTCCATTAAATTGCATAGGTACACTTGAGTAAAGTAGCCTTCTTATCATCCCCTGATTTGTACGTCTAAACTGCATACCTTTTCACTCTCTTTTGACGATCTTATTGTTTTTCTGTCTATAATTGTTTCACTGTAACTACATACTTGTATATTATTTCAGTATATGCATAGTATTGGCCTTATTCACCGTGACTTAAAGCCAGCCAATATTGCAGTGAATGAAGACTGTGAATTAAAAATTCTTGACTTTGGTCTAGCACGTCAAAAACAGGAGGAAATGACTGGATATGTTGCTACTCGTTGGTATCGAGCACCTGAAGTCATGTTAAATTGGATGCATTATAACGAATCTGGTAAGTATATATTGTCTGCTATTTCATGCAGCCACCATTTTTCCTTCTAAATTGAATATACACGCAAATGGTAATCTTCGCTTTCAAGAACGGAGTACACATCTTTATATCAAACAAAAAGAACAGTGGTTGTTCTTGTGTAGAAGACATATACTTTGGTGCATTATCTACCTTGGAGTATATTGAGTGACTTCTAATTATTTGGTTGTATTAACTGAAGATGCACGGATTGTGTTTATTATATTTGCTCTTCTGTTGCAAACTGATACGTGGTGATAGGAGAAAAGTAATTTGCAAATGTTTGTGCTAACCAATACTTCACTTTTCCTGGTATTTATTTTGATGTGCACTCGATCCCTTTGTGACTATCTGATACCCTCAAAATTTGCTTAATTCCGTACAACTTTCCTAAATGGTTTGGTGAATGTGAGTTTTTTAGTACTTTTTGTGACTCGCACAAATCGATTTCCTGCTGCATATGGTGCTATTTTTTCACTGATTTCATATGAACCTACAAAATGTGGAAATCCGGTTTATTGAGTGTTTTTATACCAAGTTACAGCCCATAAATTCATTCTATTTGTTACATTTATTTGGTTCGATAAATGGAAATGTATGAGGGGATGTATGTAGCTCAGCAACCAACAGTTTATTACACCAGGGTGTGAATCATAGCTGTTATATGGGGACTTATATTTTAACTTCGCTGTCCGAAATTTGGTAGGTAGGGTGGCAAGCCCATTACCAGTTGTTTGCATGCTGAATAGTAAGCTAATGGACTTCAACTGCGGTATATATATTTTATTATTATTATTAGTCCCTTGGGTTCCTAGTGGAACATAGGGCTTCAGTAGCACGCCTCCAGTGACCTCTGTTCTCTGAGATCTTTTGAACCTGGTCCCACGACAGCCCAGAAGCTCTCATTTCCTGCTCGCACGACCTCCTCCATGTCACCCTCGGACGTCCAACTCGTCGCTTCCCATGGGGATTCCACTCGAGGGCCTGACGCGTGATGTCCTCCGTCGGCCTTCTCAGTGCATGGCCAATCCATCTCCACTTCTTCCTGCATATTTGTTGCGTGATAGGTTCTTGGTTGGTTCGTTCCCAGAGTTCCTTGTTGCTTATTTTTTCTGGCCATCTGATCTTCAGCAGCGAGCGTAAGCAGTTGTTGATGAATGTCTGTAGTTTATTGGAAATACCTTTCGTGACGCGCCAAGTCTCTGAGCCATACAAGAGCACTGACTTGACGTTGGTGTTGAAAATCCGTATCTTGTTCCGCATGCTGAGTGCAGAAGATCTCCACACTGGTTTCAGGCTAATGAATGCCTGTCTTGCTTTTCCGATTCTGACTTTGACGTCCTCGTCCGTCCCGCCTGTAGTTGAAACAGTGCTTCCTAGATAAGTGAAGGAGGTTACTTCCTTTAAGTTTCTCCCGTTGACAGTGATTGGAGTTTGTTGTTGTTGTTGTTGATGGTGGTGGTGCGGTATCTTCATCACTTCTGTCTTCTCTATATTCACCTGAAGTCCCGTCTTCGCTGCCTCTTCTATCAACTTGTTAGTTTTTGCCTGCAGATCTTCAAGTTTATGTGACATTAGGCATAAGTCATCGGCGAAATCCAAGTCTTCTAGGTTCTTTTCCGTCGTCCAGTGTATCCCCCTCTTCTCGCTGCCTACTGTTTGCTGCATGATCCAGTCCACATCAAGAATATCATGGGGGATAGTAGGCAACCTTGTTTCACTCCTGTCTTCACTTCAAAGGCATCACTGAGCTTCCCATTGTGGATTACTTGGCATGTAGCATCTTCATATAGTTGTTGAATGAGGCGGATAAAGGTTTGCGGTACTCCGTAGTATTGAAGCAGTTTCCAAATTACTTCTCGGTCGACGCTGTCAAAGGCCTTCTCAAAGTCGATGAAGTTGAGGTGGAGAGCTGATTGCCATTCTATGCTCTGTTCTATGATGATACGAAGCGTTGCAATTTGGTCTGCACATGATTTGTACTTCCTGAAGCCTGCCTGTTCCGGTCGCAGTTTTGAATCCAGTGCATTTTTAAGCCTCTCCAGGATGATGCGGCTTAATATTTTACTTGGGGTGGACAGGAGAGTGATTCCGCGCCAGTTCTTGCAAGCACTGAGGTCTCCCTTCTTCGGCAGTTTGACAAGGTAACCCTTCTTCCAATCGTCAGGTACCTTCTCTTCCTTCCACACCTTCTGCAATAGTGGTGTGAGCATGGCCGCTGTTGTCTCTGCATCTGTTTTCAGTGCTTCTGGCGGTATTCCATCTGGTCCTGCTGCTTTCCCGCATTTCAGTAGCTTTATGGCGTTCAGGACTTCCATTTTCGTTGGGGGATTAATGTTCACTTGTAGTTCAGCGGCTGCAGGTGGTATTTCTGGACGAAGTGCAGGTGGTGGTCGATTCAAGAGCTTCTTGAAGTGGTCGGCCCATCGTTTCCTCTGTTTCTCTTCTTTTGTAATTAAATTTCCTTCTTCATCTTTTATTGGTTTCATCTGTGTTGGTCTCTTCCCTGATAGCAACCTGGTTATTTGATACAATGTCGTCAGGTCTCTCTTACCTGCAGCCTGTTCTGCTTCACTTGCCAGTGTTTCGTAGAAGTGTCTTTTGTCTTTGCGTGCACTCTTCTTCACTTCTTTGTCCAGTGTTTTATACATTGTGCTCAGTTCCTCTTGTCGTTGAGCATCCTTGCACTGGTTTATCTTCTGCTTCACCATCCTCCTCTCCTCTATCAGCTTCCAGGTATCCGTCGAGATCCATTCCTTGTCTTCTTTCTTCTTCCTTCCTAATACTGTTGTGCAGGTTTCTTTCCACATAGCTTTCAAAGACTTCCAGTGTTCTTCCACACAGGTTTCTTCAGGGATGTTCCTCGATGTCTCCCATTTTGTCTTGATGGCTGCTTTGAAGATCTCCTTTGTAGTTTCATCCTTCAGTTTCCGAGTGTTGTACTTGGGTTGAGGTCTATCACCAGCTTCCTTGAAGGCTTTTAACTTGATTTGGAAGGTTCCTTGCACTAGACATGAGTGGTCTGAACCTACATCTGCTCCTCTTCTTGACCTTGTGTTAAGTAGACTGCGTCTCCATTTTCTTGAGATTGAGATAAAGTCGATTTGATTTTTAGTGTGTCCATCTGGTGAAATCCATGTCGCTTTGTGGATATCTTTGTGCCTGAACACACTGCCTCCAATCACCAAATCGTTGAATGCGCAGAATTCTGCAAACAATTCTCCATTCTCATTCATTTCACCTAGTGCCTCTCGACCCATGGTTAGTTCTCTTCCCGTGTTGTCCCCTCCCAGTTTGGCATTCATGTCGCCCATCAGAATTTTGATATCGCCAACTGACGTCTTGTCCAGTGTTGATTGAAGTTGTCTGTAGAAATCCTCCTTTTTCTCTTGCTCTGCATTATTTGTAGGTGCATAACATTGTATGATTGTGACCTTTCTTCCTTTTGAGTTGAATCTTGCTGTCATGATCCTGGAGGAGATTGGTTCCCACTGCATGAGAGCCTTCGATGCTCTTGAGGACATCATGATAGCCACTCCCTCAGTGTGCTCGTGGTTGGCGTCTGGGTGACCGGAGTAGATTATTGATTCTCCAGTTGACAGTTTGGAGAGTCCACTCCCATTCCATCTGCTTTCGCAAATCCCAAGCACTTCGATGTTATACCTTCTCATCTCCTTTGCAATCTGGGCTGCCTTACTGGGTTCAAACATCGTGCGGACATTCCATGTCCCCACGTTTACTTTCGCTTTCATCGAGAGAAGACACATCGGCCAATTGGCTTCCCGAAGGCTTTCACCAACTGGCGTCATTTCGCCTCTCCGATTCCAGCGGGGAATAAGTTTGTTTTCATTTTTTATATTTTGTTTGTGCTTTGAAGTTTCTTTAGCGGTTAGATTTGTTTTACGGGGTAGGGTTGCTAGCCCTATGCCCAACCTTCCCTGTATACCCGGGCTTAGGACCGGCTAGTAACTAGTAAACTAGTTAACCAGGCGAGGTTATATATATATATATATATATATATATATATATATATATATATATATATATATATATATATATATATATATATATATATATATATAAGTATGCATTTAAATTCATACGAACATGTATTTATTTTGGATTCATGTAGTCGATGTTTGGTCAGTTGCGTGTATCATGGCTGAACTCCGAAATCGTGTACCTTTATTCAAAGGTGGTAATCATATTCATCAAATCCAATTAATTCTTAATTTATTGGGGAAGCCAGACGAAGAGTTTATGCTAAAAATCAATAGCCCTGAAGTAAGTAATTTGCATTTTTATCTGATTTTGTTGTTCGATATCATTTTTCCTGATTTCTTCAGTAGTAGAATTTGTATGCTTGTAAGACAATACTGTACTCAGTTGGTGGATAATTTAAGTACAATACCAGTCATCTTTCTTGCATATTTAGGCATACTAGCGACTGGTATTTGAACGAAATTTAAACCTCTTGTGGCGTCGTAAAGTAGGTTGGAAATGTAAGTCCCTTGCATAACTTGTAACTACACAGATTTGTAACTATTGCCAACACTAAGTTCATCACTATTTCTCGTTACACAATCATTCAACTTTATCACATAGATGACCTTAGAAAATGTTACTAGAGCAATCAGTCAGCCATAAAGACTGTTAGTAAACAAAATTTATTGCCAAGCTTGAAACTGCACAAAATGAAGGGTGGTGAGTCGATTTCATCAATACTAGCACGAGTTACCAAAGATTTACATTACCGTGTCGAGTTAGATGTTTAAATAGAACAGAAGAACGATAATATGTTCAAAATTTATGGCAAAATAATGCTAAAATGTATCTGCTTTATTGTGATTTATTTCTAAGCAGAACACCAATAATCTGAAACCATTGACTTACACAATTTCAAAGGTCTCAGTAAATAAATCTACACTTTCCCATGTGACTTAAGCCATTAGGCGAACACTGGTAAATCCTAGTTAGTTTTTAGGGAGACTACAATCGATCTACTTTACTGTCAACTAACATTTTACTTTTGGGGAAGTAATGGTTAAGTAAAATTTAAGTCAAACATGCTTTTTAATTTCCCAAACCGAAGTTAGGTAAATGAGTTTGTGGCTCTAACCTAGTGGTTGAAACTGAGAACCTGAGGTGCTGAGCTGTAACCAACCATCGATACTAGTGATTCGCAATCTTTGTATAGTGTTTACTATCTAAACAACATTTTAAATAAAGGCAACTAGAGCCGTTGCACCTATGTGCGAGTTTCTACGTTGATTTTGCCAACCAGTCAATTTACTGTTTATGTGTTACTGATTCTTTGATTTTACAAAAAGCGAGCAATGCTTTGAATTCATATGTGACCACATGTTTGTAACATTTCTCTGTCTTCCAGTGTTACGAGACACGTATCATTGCTATTTAAGACAGCACAGATGGATAACTGTTCAGTATATTCATCTTTTAATAGACATCGGGATATCTTACGGGCGTTATAGGATGGATTGACAGTTCCTAAACTAGAAAGTATCTATGCTACTAGGTAGCTGTGTCTAATATACCCTCTCAGTTGTTAACTGAAATCGAAGGTCAACCACTGGTTCAAGCGTACCCTCGAAACACTATTTTGTATTCAACAGATACAAACTACCTACTATAAAAGCATATATTTTCACTTACCGCATCTACCATTTGGAGCACCTCTGGATAGAGAAGACATGCTTATAAACGTGCCAGTCAGCAGAATTACTTTTATGTATGGCTATTGCTTCTGCAAATCTCAGCATACTTCCTTGAGTGTTTCAGTATAAAACTTTTAACAAAGTGTTCATCAGAAAACTTGAGCAGGAGGCTTGAACGCATTAGTTGTCATCAGATTTCAAAGACAACTGCTTTTATGTTCCTAAAGTCGCATGAATATAGACTAACCACTTGTCATAACTTTAATTATTCAGTTGATACTCAATTCAAAAGTTAAGGCTACTTTTAAGGAGGGATCTGTTTGACATTTATTGGAACTGGGCAGTATTACTCATTCTAAAGAATTTTGTTGCTATCTTCAGTCTTCTGTAAAAACAGCTTTAAAGAACCTAAGTGACTTTGAGAAATAGGTAAGAAAAGTTCAGTGGGTCTCATCAGCTTCTGAATTAATGGATGCACGTGAACACAGCCCTACAGGCTCCAAGCACAATGAAGAGTGGAAGCTACCCCAATTTAAACTGACAAGAGGTTTACGCAATCACAAAAAGCAGTGATAGGTGCCAAAGGCTAATGAGATGGAAACAGCTGCGGTGACAGATAATATTGGACGGTTATTTAAACTAAATAAGGAAATTGTTGCGGACACTGAATAAAAAAAGAAATTGAAGTTCATTTAGCAACCTTGTGCGCACTCATGCAGTAAGCATTGAACCACACCTACTGTGTGGATCCTAATGATACTACCTGGCTCCTCAGACCTTGTTAGGTGGAGCTGGGTTCAGACTCTTGACTCATCGGTTGGAAGTCAACTGCCTAAACCAATGACCTACAGCTCCACTGGTGCAAAAACGTCAATAATCACTTAGACGTTAGGAGAAAGTTATGAGTCAACGATTCACTTGCAAAGTAGATGACTGGAACGATGGGCGTAACACTTTGAAGAGCAGTCTAACTGACCTGTAGCTATTCTTCTGTTTCTTACTGTCCATTCTGATCTTGAGTGGGACAATGGGATAGGACCTCCAACTCTTGATGAAGCTAACGAGGCTTTAAGTAATCTGAAATGAGGAAGAATAGCGAACCAAAACGGGTACCACCAGAGGTATTTGAAGATGGTATTCGAGGATTAGCGTTCAGGATAACTGAAGTGTTAGCGTATGTAAATCAGATAAGATCCTCTCTGACTAGTTCCAATCACTGACTGTCCCATTTTACCACAGAGCAATCAATCTGACGAACAAAGTGTCTGAAATCCTGGGTTCCGCAATCGCTATCGAAGCTGGATAATAACGAAGCCTCAAAAACCAGACAGGTTTTACATCTGGTTGTTGATGTATCGACCATATAATCACTATCTACCACAGATACTCTGAGTCCCGACACTAGCTGTATTTCTTGAATTGTAGGTGACAGTTGATTCTGTCGGTCGAGAGGTCGTATGTTAGTGTTTCTTACTTGAAAAGGGTACCAGGTAGCTACGTTACCGTGTTGGAGAGTTTTTATTCGAACATCCGTCGGCCTGTGGCGAGTTATCACGTGAGTTGCGCACGTCGAGTGATATGCATTAAGGATGTCCACTGTCTCATTTTTTATTTGATTTCGTCATCGAAACATAAAGCTCAACAACCTAAGCCCTCTATGGCACCGCCGTAATATACAATCGCCTTTTAAGAGGTGACTGTTTTACTCAGTAGTTTTATATGGCTGTGAAACATGTCGATTAAAGGTGATAGGCTTGTGGTGGCTCCAGGTGAGTGACTATTGTTACCTCTGTATTATAGGACGTGTATCATGGTTTCGCCGATTCAGTAATGTAGAAGTCAGGCGTAGAGTTTTGGGCAGAAGAGGAAAGTCAGTTGACAAGGTTTTGTGAACCTGCATTGATTGAGGTGGCTGACACTTGTGTTACGCATGCCTAGTCGCTGTTTATCTCGTCTCATAGTCCTAGCTAGTGTGTATGGGCTGAAAGATGTAAAAGGGGGTCAGTTCAAAACATATTTTCCGACATCTTTTGACTGCATAGAAAATGTTGATTTTAAGGTTGGGCTTACTTGTGACAACCAGTAGTTAGAGACTTTAGGTGATGTGGCTCAGAATTGGTCATTTGTACAGCTGTATCCATACATTATCTTCATGGTAATCGTCATGCCTAATTCCATGATTGTTTCCTTCCTTTTTATTCTCTTTTGACAACTTTCTGTCACTTTTAGATACTTTCTTTCTTGTTTCGTTGTCTTTCATCTGTATACCTTCTATCTTGATTTAGTTGTATGCAGTATGGCAACTTGAACCGTTACGCAGCAATTCCAGGTTCCATTTTGATTCTGACTGATTCCCTCAAAATATAAAAACTTTTGAGGGTCTTTCCTGTTAGCAAGCTTTTATCCTGTCTTCATTTCAAGTAATACAGTTAAAAAAACATGCTTTTGAGTAAACGTGTTCTAGGTTTTGGTTAGGGTTGAAAATTCGATTATCATGCCTTCAGTTTTGCTTTCTGTCTCAGGTATGTTGCGTAAAGGCTCCAGTTATACGTGTGAAAAAGTAAAAGTTAGAATTTTGAAATCCTTTGTTAATTAGTCTTATTTTCCTGTGAATATCGCAAGAAGATCCAACCTCTTCCTTTTAAGTCGATGCAGTCAACAATAAGGGGATTCAGCGATAACTGTGCTCAGTTGTGACACTTCAATTAATACACTTTAGTCAGTTTAGCTAGTCTTTCTGTACTGTCTTACTGAAACATTTGTAAAGTTAACGCTTCATGCCCTATCTTTATATACTTCAGGCTTATTTTAGTCTCAAGCGTTGATGTGAATGTTCCATTAGGATTCAGGCTGACTGTTAGGCGATTGGAAGGTAACTGGTGGTTGGCTGAGTATCCTCACAAAACCATTCGCTTTTGGTTCCATTTACTTCCTTTTTTCATTCCATTTTCTTCAAAATGTATACACATATAAGTACTAACAAATACCAACATTATCTGTTGTGTTCTTGGCTAATATAATTTTCTACCTGTTCGAAGCCAATTTTCTTTGGCTGTTGTTCATGTGAGTAATGAGATCAAATTATTTGGGACCTACTTGTCTTTACCAAGATATTTCCAGATACCTAAATGTCTTAATCTTTGTTCTGATCAATTAGTGAATATTTATCCAGTCAGTGTATCGCAAGCCACCAACTTCAATCAGCGGATAAAATAAGATGTATGTCTTCTTTTCTGATCGACTAACTGCAGGACGATGGGAATTGAAAGTGCTGTATTTACTGTAAAGCAAATATATTGTTGATTTCGTTTCTGAATGTGTAGTTTATGTACAAACTTTGATAGTTATTGTTCAGAGCACTTCACTTTGTGAGCCTGACAAATGAGGATAGTATACAAAATAATGAAAGCATAGTGTCACCCTAAGGTAACCTAATGAACATAGTATTAGTTGTATTTTACTTGTGTAATCCCGGTGTAGTATATTAGAACAAATAACAGAATAAAGAAGTACAAAATATTTATTTTGTTAATTGTTCTGAAATACTACACCAGGATTACACAAGTACAATACACATACGATGAATTATGCTAAATCGATGCCCGACTT